AAACAATGAATCATGGAACACTACATCAAAAACTAATGATGTAATGTATGGTGATTAACATAACAATAAAAAAATTTAAAAAAAAATTCAAGCCTAGAAACGTCAAGTGGGCCATTTATGGCAATCATCCCACATTTCCCTAAGTGCACTGTCTTCCCCTTCCTTGGATGGTGTTTCCAGTCTCTCCCCTCTTCTCAGAACCCCACACCGCCTTCTCTACCTTCACTCTCAGCACATGACCATGTTCCATCCACAGAGCTCCCAACACCAGACCCACTTGCTTGCCTTCTCTCCTGCTAGTGAGGCCCCTCTGCCCATGGCCCTGTCCATGGTCCACTCCTTCACATACAATCCCACCCCCCCACCATTCAAGAACATGGCCCCAGCAACTGCCCTCCTTTCATCTCCATCTCCCCGCCCTACCCCTGGATTACTCCAGTCGGGATACCAGAATGCTGCTACTTCTCTCTTAAAAAACAACTACATTTTTTCTCTCCTTTCTTTATAGTAAGATGACTTGAAAGAGTTGTAAATACCACTGTGTCCAATTTCTCTCCTTCCATTCTCTGTGAACTTGTCCTACTCAACCTTCTGCCTCATTGCCCCACACAACCACACTCTCATCAAGATCATCAATAACGTTGTATTGCTAACTTGAATGGCCAATGCTCAGGACTCATCTCCCGTGACAGAGCCTATCACTCCCTCCACCCTGAAATACCTTCTCCACTTGGCTTCTAGATGCCATACTTTCCTGGTTTTTCTCCTACCTCTCTAACAGCTCATTCTGTTTCTTTTGGTGTTTTATTATCATCATCCTGACCTCTAACTACCAGAGGGCACCAAGACTCAGACGTTGGGCCTCTGCTCTTTTCTGTTCTTGCTCACCCCCTTGCTGCCTGCATCTAATTGCTCGGCTTTAAATACCATCCACATTCTGGGGCCTCCAGCTTGGACGTTTCTTCTGAACTCAGAGTCATCTTTCCAGTGGTTTTTTGACTCTCCCTTGGGTGTTGAACAGGCACTGCAAGCTCAAGATGTTTGAAATTGCTCTTCCCCTACTCCCGACAAACCTACTTCTCTTCCATCTTCCAGCAACCCCATTTCAACATCCCAGGTGGTGGCTAGCCCCATCTCCTACAGGTTGTACAAATGTAGCTGTAAGCATGCACTCTGATGTCGGATGGCTTGCCCGTTCATTCATTTGGTGTCAATTTCTCTAGAGGCCTCAGATGTTCATCTGTGTAATGGGGTTGATGTAGTGTCTATCTGGTGGGCATGTGGTGAGCTCCAAATGGGAAAATGTATGCAAAGCATTGAGCACAATGTGTGGCTATGACAGGTACCATAAGCCTAAGTCACATGAGACCCAAAGAACCTCCTAAGCTACAGAACAAAGGATTGCATAGATTCTCACTTTTGTGTAAGGCAGCGTTTGCTTTAGCAAATCCTTGACATCTGACTCACAGCCTGATCCTGTCGATGACCTCCAGCTTCCTGTCTGCTCTTCTGAATTCCTATTCTCTAGCATATGGATGTTCACATGCCAGTGTAATTCAATGACTGTTTCCTTGAAAATTTTAAGAAGAAACACTTGCGTCTCAATGTTTTCTAATGTGAAAATTCAACTGCATACTTGTATGTTAACAGATACTTCATGTGGACCAGTCCATGTGTTGGTGTGAATCAATTTCCACCAAAACATGTCAGCTGAGTTGGAATATCAAATTATACAAGTAGATACAATGGCCAAGATAGCGGAATGGCATAAAAGTATATTGTCAGTAAAACAATGTGTTCTTAGTCTCTGAGTATTGGTCAAATCCATGGATTTATGGAGATGCTTATTAACCTGGAACAGATAATTGGAATCTACCCTTCTCTTGACTAATCTTGCAGAAAAAGTGGTATCTCCCCTTTGCTTTTGATAAAATGGCTTGGGCTTGGCATGAGGCAGGACCACGCTTCTCAGAAGAGGGCTGGCTCCTTTCATAAAGAGGGAAGGCTTTCTAGTGAGTTGCTAGGATCCACTTCTAAAGGAAACAGCCATGAAGGAGATGGGACATCTGGAGGCCGATTGTCCCCATCCACCCGGAGGCCAAGCCCATCTGTTGTCCAAACAAACTCTGTAGCCAAAGAACTCAAGGGTGGGAGTGGAGGTAAGGGGAGAGGAGTCACAGGAACTGGAGAGGGGAAGGAGCTATAGCCCTACCGTGACAAAGACGGAGGCCAGGAGTAAGCCCACGGAGTAGATGAGTCCTCTGCTGTTTAGCCGAATCTGTAAGAAAGGATGCACTGTTAGGCTTCTAAAAAGGCATCTGTTCAGTGCAGGGGCTGAAGCAACTCTGAATAGTGGTCAGTGCAAATCTCTGTTTTAGGATGGCAAACAAAAGGGAGCTTCGACAGCCATGCTCTGCCTCTGGGAGCAGGGACGTGCACCTCCCTAGGACAGCCAGGGGCTCCCTTGTCTAGTCCCCTCTCAGTCCAACCCCATTCATCCCTCCAGAGTCAGTGTCCACTGGGCTGCCCCATGGCCACTTGAATTCCCTGTCGTGTGTGGCCTGATTCTTGGTGCCCACAACACTTCCCTGTGGACCTGGCCTCCAGGGAGCATTCTTGACATACAACTTTTAGGATAAATCTCGTGACATGAGGGATGCGAGCAATATTTTGAAAAAATATTACTAAACTTTTTATCTCTTTTGCATTAAATTGTCTGTGAACTGCCCCCAGACTTGATGGGAAGAGATGGATGAGTCTTGCTCTTGTAAGCAAGCAAAGAAGATAAAAGAGTTAACATTCCATTCCTGATATTCGTAAAAGGATTTTGTTTTGTCTTTCAGAGTAAGACAGTGGGGTTAGCTGCCAAACACTGAAGAGAAAGAGAGAAACAATTTTTGGAATTCTTATAAAATAACGCTGTCCAGTAGAACTTTCTGCCATAATGAAAATGTCCTGTATCTGTGTTGTCCCATATGGCAGCCATTAAGCACATGTGGCTCGTACAACTGAACAAAAATTTTAATCTTATCTTCAATTAATTCAGATTTACATTTAAAGAGACACATGTGATTACTGGCTGCGGTATTGGGCAGGGCCCAATATTTAGAGGCCAACCGGGCCAAAAAATATTACAGAGTTTCTTTCATAGTGTAGAGAAGATGTCCCTTCTGCCTTGTCCTAGGTCAAGGTCATGAGATAGGCTACCCTGAAATAGGAAGTATGCCTTAGAGCAGCCATGCTCAAAGCGTCCTCCCTGGACCAGCATCACCTGGGGTCTTGTTAGAAATGCAGGAACTCAGGCTGCACCCAGACCTCCTGAATCAGAAACTATGGGGATGGGCCCATCCAAGTGTTTTAATAAACCCTCCAGGTGGTTCTGATGTGTGAGAAAGTTTAAGAAACACTGACTTTAAGCCACTACTGAGGCTAAATCCACTTCTGATCTCCACGGGTTTTGGGGCTGGGACTCTGACATTCATTTTCACCAGTTCTCTTGGAAAGTCTTATCTGCATGGAGGTTTGGGGACCATAGAGCTCCCCACCAACATACACTGTCCTGCTGGGAGTCAAAGGCTCCATCTGTATCCACAGGAAGGAAAAGCAAGGCAGGTTGATCATTTCATTAGAGAACTGAGTGGTGATTATTAGTAGAAGTGGTTTGGGGCCCTTCTGACAAGGCTCAAGGCGCCTCTTGCCACCCTTTTACCAGTTCAACCCTGGGGTGTAGGTATGGGAACATGTGGGTGTCTCTATAGGTGGGTGTGTTCGGTTTACCTTTTGGTGACAGGAAACTCCATGCCCTTAACAGTCAAAACCTTTGTGTGGGGACCCAGGAGCATAACATATCTCTTTATGTAATGTTCTGACCCTCTCCCCTGCTGGCACAATCCATGTGAGCCAACCATCTGCTGAACTGCAGCTGGAAATTATTCCCAGCCACCAAATGCCTTTTTAAGAGCAAAGGACTCAAATCATCTCTCTCAGAAACCCTTTTGAACTCTTAATTGTCAACATTGCATGGATTCTGCTAAGCACGTGGCCAGTGCATTCCCAGCCCAGCTCACCCTTTGAGCCCTAGGGTTGAATCCTTGTCAGCAACAAGAATTGAGTAAAGTGATTTCCTGCCCCTAGGAAACCAAGAGCTAGTGACAGCCAAGCTCTAAGCAGGAAAATTCTCTTTGGCCAAGCCTTCTGTCTTCAAAATCAATCATATTCAACTAGAGCTTTGGAACTTTACTCTTCCTCCACTGACATAAAATCTCAAAGAGTGGTGCTTCTAAAATTGTAAATCTGGCTCCAAAGACTAAAGACAACTGACTCGGTGGGGTTTCTGAGTATTTTTTACGTTTTCACCTTTTCCTCTGCAGTGTCCCTTTGGTAACAGATTGCCACATGCACCCAGGGGTAACTTCTGTTTTTTTCATTCATTACAGACCGGGACTCTCAAAGCCTGTATTGATTCCTTGCTATCTGAATCCCCACCTCCACATGTACATGACAGTAAGGAATTAGGTTTCCTTCAGTTGCCTGTGGGTCCAACTTGAACATCTCCCAATCACTGGAGACTATGGATGGTTTGGGGCAAGAGTTGGCCAACAAAATCTGGCCCATCGCCTGGTTTTGTAGATGAAATTTATTGGAGCTCAGCTCGTTCATTTGTATATTGTCTACTTCTGCAGTGGCAGAGTCGAGAAGTTTCATAGAGACCATATGGCCCACGAGGCCTAAAATATTTCCCCTCTGGCCCTTTCCAGAAAGTCTGCTGACCCCCGATTTAGGGCACGGACTCCAGATCCAGTTCACTGAACCCCTTCTGAATCCCTGCTCGGTCACCGAGTTGCTGTATCATCATGGAAAATGACTTAACTTCCCCATGCCCCAGTTTTCTGAGAAGTAAAATGGAGATAATACAATTCTCACCTCATGAGGTGGTTGTGAGGATTAACTGAATTAATCCATGTTAAAAAGCTTGAACAGGACCCAGTGTATAGTGAGTTCTCAATGTGTCTGGGCCATTATTCTCCATTCAACTCATGAGCTGCCTAATCCCTTCCCTGGTACCCCTGGCTGCTTCTTTTATAAACTCACCACCCAGCAGCCCCCTGATCAAAGCCTCAGTAGATGACAAACACCATAAGGATGGGGGACCACGTCTGACTTTATCCTCTGCCGGGCACAGGGCTGAGCAAAGACCACATGCTTCAATATGTAACCAATGAACAGACAATGAATCCATTTCCCTGCAGAAGTGAAATGGAGCAGGGTGGACTGCTCAGAGAGAGGCTGGGAGCAGGGAGACCCTGGCTGCCATTTCTGGATGGTATTCCAGGAGCAATGCAATCCTGTCCAACACTCACTGTCCCCTTTCCCCACTTTATTATTTTTTTTAAGAATGCGTATAGCCTTTTTTTCACCTAACATTTTATTATGAAAGTTTTCAAGCATTCAGAAAAATTGAAAGAATGACACCATTTTATTATATCATTTTACCAAAGGGCTTGATTATAGTTCAAAGGTCTTTTGTTTCTAGATGCAATTTCCATATGGTGAAATTCACAAATCGTGATTGCACTGTTCAGTGGGTTCTGAGAAATGCATATACCTGTGTTACCTCAACTGTGGCCATGATAGAGACCACTTCCATCCTCCCCAGAAAGTTCTCTTGTTCCCTTATCAGTCTCACCCAGGATCAATCACTGCTTCTAAGCTTAGCCCGTCCAAGAAACTCATATAAATGGATCCCTATAATGTGCGTTCTTTTACACCAGAATTCTTTTACTCAGCATAATTTTTAAAGATTTCTTCATTTCCTTCGTATTTTTCATTGCATCAATAGCTCATTTCTTTTTATAACAGCATAAATATATCACGGCTTATTAATTATTCTCTTGTTTATGGACATCTGGCTTGCTTCTAGTTTGGGCTATTAACATGCATTGATTTTATAATTCACAAACACAACGAAAAGAGACCTACAGTGGCCCCTCTCACCCACAGGAGAAGCAGGAATGGAGATAATGAAGACAGCCAGGGGGTCTGCTGGGACCTCAAACACACTCATGCACCGGGATCCTCTCTCTCTAGCTGCACTAGGAGCCTCTCCAAACAGGGGAGATCCACTTTCCTCACCTTAGTACACTTCTGTCTCCCTTTTGGACCCTCAGTCTTGTCAGATGGGGTGCATACCTCCTTTTTACCTCCCTCTATTCTGCCCATCCCTCCCTCAGTCCTTTTGTCTCTTCCAAGTTCACTGAGCCCTCGCAGGCCCTATCCTCACTTCTGATGCAGATCATGTCCTGACCTTGCCTGGGTAGCCTTCTTACCTCCCCAGCTCATCCCACTGCTCTGATGGCAGATGCCTGGGTCTTCAGTTTTTCCTCCTTCCACCTAGCACCTAGCTCCCCACTTGTCTACATATATTGTACGTTTAAATAAACATCTGCGGGTGATGCTGAGCATGTGTGTATGCTTGTGCACGTGTGTGCACACACATGGGGTGTGTGTGCACATTGGAGGTAGTAAGGCTGGGTGGCAAGGGCCAAGATTTCAGAGCTGGATGAGGAGACTGATGTGGGGGTGGTTTTAAGCTGATCTTTTTAAGCAACACAGTGAGAGGGCACCAAAATAGGTTTTTTTGTAAAAAAAAAAAAAAGGCATAATTTGCATACAGTAAAGGCTCAAATCTCTCCTACTGGCTAAGTTTTGACAAATGCATGTACCCATGTAACCCACATCTCAACAAGATATAAAACATTTCCATCACCCCAATAAGTTTCCCCAAGGGCAGCAAATTTAACTCAACCCCCTTAAAATCTAGTTTCTTGGATCGTGCAAGCCAGCAATAACACGGACCCGTCTCATCTCTGAACTACCTTTGCAAAAGACTTGGAGCTCTAGCCGTGCATAGTGTTGATCTAAACAATGGTTTCCCTGCTTCCTGAGTCACAGATACAGGGTCCATTAAGTGCAAATGCAGCAAATCTCCATGGCAATGCCCACCAAAGAGCAGGCAAGGTACAATTGCTCTGACATTGAACACTGTTTTTATTTCTTTCCTTCAAAATACGGAATTCATTCTCTAATTCCCTCATGGCAATTGTTGCAGAGAAAACAGAAGGCTGGCTGGTTGCCAAGTCAACAGAAATTTAGCCCATGATGCATGTATATTTTTTCATCTGCATGCACACACAGACACCCATTCAGACCTAGCTTTATTTCTGCACACGGTTCATAAGTAGTTCCCTAAATCCTACAGTTTGGGGATCCAAAATCCCT